GAGGAACTGCTAGATGCGAGTTCGCAAACACGTCCATTGCCAGACAAGATGTTGTCATTGAATCTGAACAAATGAATCGCGTGTTTAATAGAAACCGTCTCTGTGCGATGTTTGTCCGCTGTATTTGAGTGCACTGGCGCGTTAATCCGTTACCCGATTGGAAGTTGGTCTGTCAAGTTCGGAACCCACATCAGCCGGTTCGGAAGCTGTACTTTAGATTTAAAAGCAACCATTCCTACAGTAAGCCCAATTTAATTTGCGTGCCAGAAAGGCGCGAATAGCTGTCCAGTAAGACTTGGATACAGTCTGGCTTGTTCGGACGATCCTTGTTTGATCCAATAGCGTGCGTAAGCAAATGCGGGGTAGTTGGCGTGGGAATGTTTCTACGTTGTTTAACGTACTGACATAACATCAGATTCAGACAATTGACATTTTAATGCCATTGCTACCATCTATATCAGCTCAGGAAATGTGGCTTGCAAAACCGCAAATTGCGCACAATTAGGGCTTTTAGACTTCTACCATGCGAACAGCAGAACGATTATAAACTACCACTCTGAAGATATCTTCGACGCAATAGGATATGTAAATAATACTAATGCCAGTTCACATTCACCATGTGGTGTATTCCCTAGCTCGCTCCCTTGATCCTTGGGTTCACCTGTGGAAATATTGTTGCATTTACACCAATCCTGACAATTGTCTACACTGCACACAGGACGCAGTCTCCCATCAGCGACTGTGTGCAGTTTTGTCCTTATTTCGGTTGCAACATTGACCGTAGTTTAACCCTGCCAGCGGTGAACAAGTGGCTGTGTTATTCTGGACTGCTCAACGTCGTTCACCTTACTTGGTGTCCGGCCCCAATACGCTGCGTATTTTCAACCCAATTTCACTTTACCTAGTCCAACCTTCCCATGAAATCTCTCTAACCAGCCTTGGTCGTCGCGATTCCCATGAATGCACTTGTCAACGGAAGGGGTGGAGGCACATACATGGGCGTCGCACACAAAGGGGGGGTTGCCACATTTTTCAAACCGGAATGTACTAGAGGCCAGGGGTAGGTGAGCGATGTGACTGGCCGGGTTAGCTTGAGTTCAAACGTTGCAACCGCAACATTGATGTTGATGGAATTAACGTTCCAGGTTGCAGTATTGTGGTTAGTTCCCCCCACTTTGAGCCAGTGGTGACCTATGAAAATATGGGCATGTCCATGAGTTGGATAGATGGGATTTGCCTTCAATCTTTTCTTCATCTACGCTACTTCTTACTGCACTCTTACTTAGCTTGAAGACCCACTGAAGGCATTTGGGAAACATGCGCACTTTGATGGCTTGGATAAGCGTTTTTCCTTATTCTTCATATAGTGCTTACTTTCCCTTACACAGGCATGAGGTCTGCAGGACATGGACCTAATGAAGGGGCAAACTGCTGATGTCCTGCAACTACCCCACCCAATTTATGTACGCAATTCATCGTACCACTTGTGTGCGGTGCGTCATTAATTCTACTGGATTTATATTTCATCCTAGCTCCCTTTATTTCTAACTGAAGAGTGAACTCAAGGACAGGGCCTGTAGTGGAGTTCAGTCTTGGGAGGGTTTAGCTACATTAAATTTCCAAATCTCGAACTGACCGATGGTTAATTTTGACAGTCAAGGCCCAAAATTTGCCTGTGTTGCAATATATAAACACATTGAGCACTTGAGGACAATCAGACTGGCGTTTGGTCACACGGGCAGTGTGAGTTTTGTCCACACTCGTAGGTGAGCGGCTCGACAATCCACCAAAATACCAGGCATGACCTAGACACCTGTTCCGGTCACACTCACTCGAGAAGATTGCTCGACAGGGAGTGCATTAAGCAATCGACTAAGGCTCATTCCTACATTTACACAATGGCTCGGTAGACCGGAGCAAATTTCATGTCAGATGTGTTTGTGTGGCGAAATTCACAAAAAGAGCATGATTTGACACACTATCACCGTGCCGTTTATCTTCCACGATCCTTCGCTGGACGAGCTGTTGGAGACCTTATCACTGCGAATAAATGTGTGGGTCAGTTTGTATAACTTAAGTGCAAGAATTAAAGGCCATTTGGTGAGCAACTGTTATCAATGATGCCTCCGCAGACCATTACGATCATGTGAAAGGCTAAGCAAATAAAAGTGACCCGGTTAGTTCAAGTTACAAAAATCACGTTAGGATCAGTGTCAAAGTCGGGAAAACGAATTAAACCTTAACGGGTCAGATGTGGACTGCGGAGTTCGATCGAAAGCCGTCGATCGTTGTCTTCATTTTACTCTATCCAGAGAGAGTGAAATACATGGACTACCTACTGAGAGCATAAAGACGGCTGGAATCATGGAATACAAACTGTCTCGGCCGTCGCAAGTGTACGAGGTTTGAGACTTTTGATTGGTGCAGGGAAAGCTTGTACACACTTCAGATCCCCCTAGTGCGTAGTGCTCACGATATGGACAAGAATGGAGTTGCTAATGGGTGCTGACGGCATTCACGCTTATTTATCAGTTCAAGTGCTGCTGTGGTGGAACGTATATTGGTCGAAGGGCGCGACACTTGTCCATAGGCTCTCTATACGTACACATATACACACACACACACACCTGTTTGTCAATTCATCATATCTACCGGCTTACTACCAGGGCGGAGTCAGTGTGACGATCGCGTCCTTCTGCACACACAGACTGGGGTGAAGCTGCTTGATCGCGACCGCCTCAGCGTATCGAATCACATGAGTGTTGTTTGATGCGTAGAGCACACTGAACGTACGTGTTGAGTAAACACATTGTTAAGAGATGGCGGGCGATTAATGAGGCATGCGTGTTGAACGGTTGACCATTTGCTTTCTTTGGTTGCGCACCATGGGTGGTGGACGGGGCTAGGTTCGAAACGTGATTCCTGACCTACGCTGGAATATGTTCCGCGATTCTCACCCGCAACTGGAGCTCTGTCATACCTATGTAAATGAGGTTGCAATTACACGTAAATTTGCAGAAGATGTGCGAATGGCTGGACACAGGTAGCTGTGGTTTAACCGAAGCTGTGAGAATACACGTCGCTGTGTATACCAGTACGGGTGACGCCGCGGGATACACTGGTGCAAATATGGATTTCAAACGTTGTTGGAACAATTAATTGTCTTACGTCATCTCCATTAAACGGTTACTTCAGTGTAACTTTAAGCTTTGGCACGGTGGGCACCATCTCTTTCTCCCTCTTCTTACTGAATTGTGCGATATAAGCAGTTGCATACCCGTTTTCTTCTAGGGTATTAGTGAGGAAGCGTACCTCTTCATCAAGTGTGTCTGGCGTGTAAATTTTTCTTGCTCTGTTAAACAGGGTCTGCACCAATCCCTGTTTGTAGCGTTTGGATACATACTATAGTAGTTCGGAAACTGTACCTTCCACGTCTGCTTACTGTATACCGATTTACGTAGAGATCTATCAGTTCTGTCTTCGAGCAGTAGGTCAAGAAATGGCGTGCTATCATCCTGCTCTTCCTTTATTGTCACCCTGATGTTTTGGTGCAGCTCATTTAATCTGGTGTTCAGTGGCGTTTTTTGCTCCTCTTGATCACAAGTGATCAATTTGTCGTTCATGCATCGGTGAAACAATATATATATATATATATATATATATATATATATATATGCAACAGTCTACGAATAGACATCGAGCCATCAGAAACCATGGGATTCAAAATAAGGTAAAGAACTAGTAAAAGAAAACACAACACTACACATCAAAGTCCATTTTTTCGTCAGAGGGCGAGATTCTACCCGGTTGCCCCATGCCAAAGTAGGGTGTTTACTTAGAAGACATCACCCCGAGCCTTTGGCCCGTAAGGCAGCGGAACAAATTCAGGGAATCGCGCCCATTGGGAGCCGGTGACTGAGTGCTCAGTTCAAAAGCCTTTCGTTTGTTCATTTGTCAAACATGGGCCCAATGCTCCCCATTATTACAGCATAAAGTTGCTGGAATACAATGCTTCGCCAGGATGAAGTAAGGGGCAGTGACTTTATTTAGTGGCGAGTCACGTCCTCCACGTCACAGTGTTGTTAAACGGACATATGTGGCTTTTTATAGGAAGAACGCTTGCCAGGCGAAAACCCACCACGTCCTGGAACACTGCCTCCGAACCAATTGCTGGAACGGGAAAATCCCGAACCACGCAGCTGGCACCACGAGGAGGTTGCTCGGCAAGCCAGCACTGATTGGTGGATTTCATCCATGAGTTGATTTCCAGATGAGCAATGAAAATATCCGCTACGAGCGGTCCGAGTGGACTACCTATTGCAACACCATGCAGCTGCAGAAACCCTTGCTTTTGAAAATAGAACTTTATATTCATGTGTATAGCAGCAGGAGCCGGTCTAGTTCGGACACTGGCATATTTAGTTATCTTTGGCTCTCCGTCACATGGTTGCATATGATCTGAATAGTCTCTTTCAGCGTTATCTTGGTGAATAGTGCTACTATATTGATGCTAGCCATAGACTTTCCACTTATCTGGATGCCATCCAACAGTTCCGCTAGTTTAAACGTATCTTTGCAGCTGTGCCTAACTATTGACATCCTAACTGGATCCAGTAATGTCACTAGCCGTTTATCCAGCTTGTGTTGCGATGAGTTGGTCATGGATAAAATTGGCCTCAGTGGGACATCCACCTTGCGTACTTTGGGCAGCCTAATAGCTGTTTTTCCTTTTGACATTCGTTCCAAGAAACTTTTGGTCGAATGTGCTACACACAAGATGCGTTACGAAGACAAATTGCCAACATTAAGGCGGTTTCTGACTGAATTAGCGAATTCAGGTTTACTTGAAGTAACCGACCGTCATCCTATGGAACAGAATTATTTACTGCAGAGTGATGAGTTCTGTGCATCTAATGTTGTAGGGACTTCCAGAACGAGGTCGGTAGTAAAATAGAAATATACCCAAACTGGGAGTTTTCGGCACACCTTATCTCTTCTCGAGGCAACATAAGCTGAACTTTTAATCTAGTGATCTGAAACATGCGATTGTGCCCTGCTTATTCATTTAGCGAGGAACACGAACGCAGCGTATAGTTTTACTATATCAAGGCATTTTGAATGCAACCGTACAGATTCCGTTCCTATGCGTTTCCATTTTAAAACAAAACGCGGAACGTTCGAAGTGATTCGATGGGCATTCAGCGGCATCGCAAGTTGGGAAGACTTTGTGAAGAAAAAAGTTTCAGTATAAAGCAGTAAAGTACAAAGAAGAAAAATAGGTGGACCAAAATGTTTCTTTTTAAGCAGACCATCAATTCTGGTCTCCACGTCTGCCAAGGGCTTCCTCAAGTGGTTAGAAAAGAAGAATATGGTCCAGGATGTGAAGGAATGGTTAGATGAAGTAACCGGGAAATAATGTTTGTATATGGCTATATTGTTATAAATGTGTAGAAATCACAGGAGTTGCATATGGGACAGTTTAATCCATCCAACATGCCGTCGCGAGGTTTGTAAGCCAATGAAAGCTCAGATTGAATCATGCGCAAAAGTGCAGCCGTGATGAAAATAAACTAAATAATTGCTCACTCGGATATCGGAAGAATTCACTTCAGTGCCTGTGGGAAGACGTGTTACCGAATGCATGGGTAATAAAAGCAATATTTCCAACTGAAATAGACCCTCCGCATTTGATAGTAACCAGCACGTATATATTCCAAAGAAAGTAATTCGTGAGCTATTTTTGAATTCGAAATGCTTTTGGTAAATGAGCTAGGAGCATGTGGTTGAAATGAGTTACTTCTGTGATCCCGACAGTCCGTTGCTCACCGCACCATGCGTTTAATAATCACTTTGATTGATGATCACAAAGTAGTAAATTCGGCTTTAATGCGACCCTATTTCCACTGCACACCTTTGGTGAACCGCAAATGAGTGTTTTAAGCGATACAGAAGCATTTGTTGGTAGAAGAGAACTACTGCTTCCGCTGAAAATTCTGTGATTTTGTACAGGATTGGTACCCACTCTTTTTGGTATATGATTTGAAGAAATGTGTTTCCTGCATGGCGCACATCTATCCACTGAATGTGACCTCAGCATGGAAGACAATCTTGTGTTACAGATGGGCCCATTAGACTGGTTCTTATCAGGGTATACTCGCAATGGTTCGTACTGTTTGCTCCTTGAGTAATCGCCCTGCATTCGTGATTGTCGAACTCGTTCACCGACTGGCCTCAAAGTACTGTCTTCTGGAATACTCGACTTATTCTGCATCTGTTTCCATTGCCGTTCGGATTTGGCACTTTGCGTACATCGAGTTTCCACCTTTGAAGGTTTTGTTTGGCATGAGGTGATAACATTTGACGTCGGTTTCGGTGCTATCGCTCCCAATCTCTGTGTAGTTTGTAAACGACCGGTGCATTCTTCCTGAATCACCCGGCTTTCACCCATCATAGATTGCAGGTTTTCATTTATGCTTCCGACTGCTGTCACTGCTTGCACTTGAGGCTTAGACAGCGAACGGTCACTTATTGTGGGTATCCAATAATTTCTAGACCCACGTGGATGGATTGAAGCCTGGAATGGAACCCGACGAAAATCATTTGTTCTCCTGTCAGAGTGAATGCTCTGTATATCGACCGCTGAAACTTGTGTAGATGTCTGTAAAAAGTAAGATGAGAACTTATCGTGGGAGCAAAATTATATGAACAGCATGCATTTGGACACAGCCTGAGGGAAAAGAAACAAAGTACACTGAAATAAAATAGCTACAATATTTCAAGCAAATTTCTTGATTCAGATATGCATTTTGTCGTACCTCGCATGTAAACGGGTTAGGTAAATGCTTTTCACATAGGCATCATCGAGAACGCCTCAGGGTCATGCAGAGTGGCAGACTAGAAGATGGCGTTGGTTTGGGAATCGAGAGTGGAGAAAAACGCTATGCAATGGATCCATGACCAAAAAATGGGTTGAATAAATTCTAACTACTCATAAGTAGAAAGAGAATACCAGCAAGATACGGGTATCCCAGGTGAACAAGAATGCCAGGTGTACTGGTAATTACGTCTGCGTCTGTGATTGCGTCGACGAGAATAGTGGCAGCGAAAGGAGGTTGCAAGCGGAGATGCAGTTTGTCATATGAAACAGGGTATGCTTTTCAGCAGCTGAAATAAATGGTTTACAATCATCAAAAATGAGTGGGAATCAAAATTGAATAAACGTTCGAACCAAGGACATAACGCACATGCTTATGTGTGACGGTGTTATACAGAGTCCTGAAATCAGCGCACTGTAAGATTAAGGGAAAAGTGAAAGAGAGCATGGCGTGCCAACCAGCGAAATTTCACACAAAACAAAGGGAACAATAAAAATAAATATGGAAGGAAGTATAAAGTTTCCAGTGATTATCCACACATCATTCGAATCAGCACAGGAAGCACTACCAAAACAGGCTTAGCTTGCAGAAAATTTTAGTTGGAAGGGAAATAGCAGATAAACTTGAAAAGCGCCTGATAGACCGAGGGAAAATGCTACAACTGTTGAGGTGAAGAACAAAATGGGGCAAGGTATGCTTACAAGGAAGTCTATAACAAACAAAAGAAGAATACAGCAAAAACTGCTGAGCTCATCACCTGTAGGGACTGTCTGCATTTGTTCATACTGTACAAAAGGCACAAGATGTTCCACCCAAACTTCCTCACAGTTGGGACGAAAATGTAAAAAAAGTCTTTAATCAAATGTACTCATATAGTTCTATCTGAAGATCTAGAGAAATCTGTCCGTCGATGCGATTCCGCGGAGAAAGTTTATAAAAAATGGAAGGTCAATGCTAGACCTAAAGACCGATTAGCACACAATGGGTAGACACAGACACCCATCGCTGCCGATGCAGCTGGCAAGGTTGATGAGTTGATCAAATACCTGGCTATCAAATGTTTGAGGATCATCGTTTACTGGTGGTTTTGCAATGACATTTTGCACAATAAACTGCGAAGCGCAGGCCAAAAGATGGGACCACTCAAGAGCGGTTATTCAGGGTTGACTGGGCTACCGCAACATCGTTAAACAGTAAGACAAAATCAGCCACATAAGCAAGATCAACTAGATATCCGCCAGGCGGCGCAGCGCCCATCGTGAGATTCCACGAGCGAACCTTCGATAAATGAGTCCATAACTAAGACGGACAAAGTAGGGACATGAGGCATCCCTGACGACGCCAATAATTGTAGGAAAGATATCTGACAAGTTACCGGAGACCGTGACTCGACCTGTGGTATTTGACTACTGGGCACATAAATGTGCACATATTGCATAGTAACACTTTTCCGCTCAAGTATTTAGAACAGAATGAATCGATCGACTGAGTCAAACACACTATTGAATTTGAGCACCACAGCTATTGTCTGTCTGCCATACGTTTGACTCTGATGTAGTACCTGCCACAGAGTGAATATACGGTCTATACATCCCCGTCCTGTGCGGAGGTCTTCTTGCTCTTCCCTAGTCCGGAATTTCTGTGCCGCAGTGCGGGGACGAACGAGAAATGAGGTTAGTAATTTTGTCACCACCGGCGTTAGATTAATACTCCTGTGGTTAGCACAGTCGGTGCGACCAACCCACTTCAGGGGGCCTTCAACTACGGTCTTTCTTGTGGTTATTGGAATATTGTTTTGCGTCACTCACTGCAAATCATTTTGTTCGTGTTTCTGTAACTTATCATCTATTTGTTCAAGTGAACCATTTTTAAGTTAAGCTGTCTTGATTTCCTCTGCTGATTTGGCTCCGTGTATTTGTCCTAATTTCATCTCTAGTCGTATACCGTCAAAAGTTGTAAACATTTTCAAAGTATACGTCAAGAAAGAGGAAAATAGCACTGGAAATAGCAAGGAAAATAGCACTGTGCTGACCGGCAAGTTGAACTCAGGTGCCGTCCTGCTAACAAAGTATCAATTCCGCTTACTCTGTCCATTAATTTACGATGACTTTCCGGAAATATTGTCGATCTCGAGTACCTTTCACAACGAAGAGAATTTTCATAATCTAGGTACTGTGATGTTACAGGAAACTTGCTTATTTTGAAATTAGAATTTCCAGACTCACTGGATATCGACATATTGGATCTGACCGCCCAGTAAAGTCCCGGTACAGCGTGGGTGTGACACCCACACTAGCGAAGACTAGCTTGAAGCGGTTTCACAGCAATCCGTTCACTTAATGGCTTCAAAAAGATACCTTCCGTTAAAATGCAAATTAAATTTTTTAGGTGCTTCTTATCTGTTATAGTTGGGAACGTTTATGTGGGACCTGAAAATCCACTGCCAGAAATGACGAAGTTGGCAACTGACTTTGTCTCAGAGTTGCAAACGAAGTGATAATATTCCTTTTGTGTTGTAAAGTCCAAAGAGAATTTTGAATATTAAGCCAAAATGGTTTACCCATTATGGACATGATATCGTTTGTTCCAAAGCGCTTATATCATTCTAGAAAGTTATACATGTTTGCTTCTAACACTTGCCTTATGAAACACTTGACGTTTTCATCTCTCATTATTAGCATATCCTTGACTCCTCAACCTCAAAGATTTCATCTTTGATAGTCTGCTGATTAGCAAACTTCTACACTGTGCCGTTTTTCCATGCCGTAGAGTCAAAGAAAACGTTTTCACGCTCAAAGATGCTGATTCCGTAAAGTCCTTATCGACTGAGAAAATGAAATGTGCCGCGTTAAGCATAGTTTTGTCCAAACTATACTTGGAAAGAATAATTGCCGAGAAATTTGGAAAATCTTGAAGAATCTGAATGGAGCCATCCGAAGTGTTACACACGTACTGCTCTCGATGTGGAGGAATTAAACCACAGCTTCTGTGGTCATATAACTGATTCAGCATTGCAATTACTAACTTTATCGTTACAACTCTCTCCACAAACCTCACCATCTATACATAGTGTAACAGTTCACAAGAAATTACCACGGATACAGTGGTGTACAGCGCCTGATCCAGACGGACTATATACTCCTAACGAAATGTGCTAATATCTTAACACAGCCAATTCATGCGGTTACACGGTAGAAGGTTTCCACAACCACAACCAATTGTATAGTTTTCTATTTCCATTTATGATTTTATTTTACGTTAAATATCAATCTGTACCATGCAGCTTCCTCGAATGCAAACAAACTGAGGACGTTGTCCTGGGGTTCATAAATATAAATTTAGAAAGCTTCGAAATCCCAATGAGGATTAGACGAACTATTGACTTCTTTAAACTCCCCGTTCCTCTCACTTAAAAATGCTGTGTTTTTATGTCACATCCTATTTTCTCCGCCCCGACAGATTGCGTTATTTTAAATTATACCCCCCCCCGTCAGTCGTAAGTGACTAAAGCGTCTCTCGCTTATCCAATGCAAAGTATCCCGGGTGTTCACTTCTCTTTTAGTTCCTAGTTGGCACATGTTTTTGGAACTTTTCAAAAAGTCAGAGGACTATGCTTTGACACACTCAGCTCTAAAGTGCTCTCCGTACTCCGCACCCAAATCCTAAGGTTTGTAAATACATGTATTCTCCACCACTGGTTATCCTGTTCCCTTATTATCTTTCCTGAACTCCTTCAAAAGAATTATGCTCTTCTTGTGCGGTCAATAAAATTTATTCCGGGTGCTCTGGATTAAGCACAGTGTCCCTCGTTTAGTTCATCGTTAGCATGCATATCGACGCGAGCTCGAACTTTTCATCGAGGATTCCAAATGACTCATCTCTCCTCCTATGCACTGTGCCGGTCAGTACGGTATCCATATTTTTCTACACAGTCGAAGTTCAAAGTATTATTTTCTCGTAAGTGGTGGTATCGCAATTCTAGCCTGCCTATCTGTCTCGCTTGTTACTCAGCCCGAAATTAAGGAAGCATCAGCTGCGAGACCATTTGCTTGATTGAAAATGTACTCTTTGTTGTTCCCTTCGATCTGTACTTCGTTCCACTGATGCAAAGTTGACGTACATCCACAGGGTTGGTGTAAATTGCTGAAATGCTCCCAAATGGATGTGTAGAGCTTATTTTGAATTGACTTGGATAGTGCCACCATAATAGATTCACTCCTGGTTAGTTCAGTGGTTCTCAACCTGGGGTAATTACCCCACTGGGGTAAAATCGAATCTTACGGTGGGTAAATATAAGTATGAGGATTGAATCATCAATCTGTTGTCGAGCAAAATTAAAAACGATATCATCTGCATTAAGACATGTAACTAAATACGTAATCACTACTGATCAGCCATCATTGACCAAGCACTAGTGAATGGTTAGTGAATTAGACAATTTCTGGTAATAATTCCATTACCTAAAATATGAATGCATCCTGCGACTCAGCGTACCTAGGTGACGCCGCTAGCAGATTGGTCGTCGATCGTTGTTCTTTTGTTTCTGGCAGTCGTTCCCCGTGTCGAGGTATATACCTGAGTCAACACTAAGGTAGGGACATAGATCATCCGACTAGGTAGAGGAGTGAGTGAATGTTCACAAGTTAGATGGGGCAAAACAGGCAATTAGTGTGCAGGATCTATTGATACAGAGTGGCGGTGGAAATCTGTTCTCTAGAACGGATTTGGAAGGGATGGTTAAAACAAACGAGAAGCCATTGAAATCTGTTCAGATTTGGTCAAG